TAAACTTCCCAGACAAGTTAATAATCAGGGAGAAAATATACTTTCTTCTCCATCAGCTAGAAATAGCAAGCAAATATGGGAATATAAAGGTTCTGACCTGCATACGGAAACTACTAGTTCTTTCTTCACTGCAGTCTAGAGAGAAAAGGACCAAATTCTCTTGGTTCCAGTATTAGGACACTCCAGGAGCTGGGTGTTGAGGAGAGGTTGGCCAAACCATATCACACAATATGGAAGAAAACACAGGCATGCATGGTCATGTGCTAGTACATAGATGTTGTGTGTGTGAAACGAAGAGTTGATGGTGAATGTCAAGTCTCCGCCACCCCTCTGAAAAGCTACAAAAGCCTAGGTGCATAATCCAGGACCCCACCTCTTGGAAAGCATTTTGGTTCCATTGGAACATAATGAAACATAGCCCAGGAAGAAAAGTAAACTTCACAAAGAATATCATCCCTGCACCTGATGAACACAAGGCCCTCAGTCCTCTCTGGGTCAGGGACCCCGATGTAAGTCCATCTCCCCCAGTTCTGTCCTAACCCCATGCAGTTACAGATGCATGGAGACAGCAGGGCAGGGATGCTGAGACCAAGGGTGTCATCATGACTGACCTTGCAGGTGTGCAGTCACAGCACACTGCTATCTTTGAATTACAGAGCAACAGTCACTGTATTGATGAAATCAACTTATGCTTCAATCTTGTAGATTTAAAAGTAGATATGAAAAAGCTCCTTCCATCAGGAAATACTTTTGAGGGCCAAAACCAAGTTAGGACCAACTTGCACTTGTCTCCACAGAGCATAACAAAGTGGAGCCCCTTCAGCTGTGGGCCATGTGGACCCTGACTGTGTCCATCTCAGACTCACTGACTCATACATTTGCAGGCCTACACATCCATATTCCCCAAGCAGCTTGAAGTAAATTTGAACAGTAAAAAAGAGCAAAACCAAAGATTCCTTATTCTCTGTGGAATTCAGTGGCAGAGGTAATATGTGTTGACAAAATGCTTTGTGCATGCAGCACCCCAGAGCCCTAGGTCTGCTGCTCTGTGCTTCTAGCCCTTCACTTGCATTGTTGCTGACAATACCTTTTCTGCTGGACACTGGAATAGGGGTATTGCATAAGGGGAAGGGCACGATATACAGAGTCATATCACTCACAGAGACCACAATTTTTACAGAAGCTACCAAATAAACATTGTCGCTTAAGGCCAACAGGCAGCTACATTCAATGCACTCAGGATAGTGATCTGATGATGACTGCCTTAGGCCAATCAAGGAGATGCTTCCAGGAACATCAGGGATGACAAAAAAAGTTTCCCTGAGAATTAGGGAGGCTGTATTGTCTAAGACACCCACGTACCTCCACCTTATTAGCCATGAGGCATATGCAAACCTCCCCTCATCCCTCCCTCCTCCCTGACACATGTCTGCTCCTTTTCTTATGTTCCAGCACTCGGAGAGAGGCAGCCCAGTACCTTGCCTCTGTCATAGCAACAGACTCAGAAAGTGGGGGTCATCTTTCTACAAAACCTTTAATTGTAGACACTGAGTTGAAACATGATTCATTCTTCACAGTTTTGTTTCCTCACTCACTTCATTGCAATTCGCTCTGTGTTGAAGCAACAGGAACTGACAACAAAGTCAAAGGAAGAGAACCTGGGGTTGTGGGTCTTGGTCCTTTCATTAGCAGCTACACATGTAAAAGTGCTTCCAGTTAGCACACTCAGGAAGGTATCAAGTGATGGCTCAAGTACTGGGGTCCCTCCCTCCTCCATGGATGATGAACCAGACTGATTTCCAGGATCCTGGAGTTGGCCTGGCCCACCCTCAGCTGTTGTGAAACTTGGCAAATGAACCAGCATGTGAGAAATCATCCTTCCTATTCTCTGCTCTCCTCTCACCTTCCTTCCCTATCAACCCATATATAAAATAAATACATAAATGAAAATTTTTACAGGATATGTTTAGAGGCAGGCATTTGGCCCACCTGCTAGGATGCCAGTTCAGACATCCACATTCCACATAGGAGTATTGGGATTCCATATCTGGCTCCTGACTCCAGCTTCCTGCTAATGAAGACCCTAGAAAGCAGCAGTGATGGCTCAAGTGTTGGGAATCTGCCATCCACATTAGAGATCTGGATTGAATTTCTGGCCCTTGGTTACAGATCCAGTCCATTCCCAGTATCTGAAGGCCTGCAAAGAGTAAACCAACAGGTGGATGCTTATGTCATCTCTATCTGCCCTTCAAATGCATTTTTAAAAATAAAAATTAAGTTCATTATGAAGTGAAATCTTTTGATATATGAGGTCTTTAAAATGTTTATGGAAAATATATATTATGTATATTTTTTCATTATTTTTCACACTAGAATAAAATTTAAAGATTTATTTGAAAGGCAAAGTGATACAGAGGGCAAAAAGAAAAGATAGAGAGGAAGAGAAACAGAGATCTCCATTTATTGGCTCACTTTCACAATGGCTGGGACTGGTCCAGGCCAAAGCCAGGAACCCAGAACTCCATCCTGGTCTCCCAAAGGCAGTGAGAGGGGGATCAAGTACCTAATCCATCTTCTGCTGCTTTTCCAGATGCACTAGCATGGAGCTGGATCAGAAGAGGAGTAGTATTGGACTTGAATTGCTGCTCCAGTACAGGATGATGATGTCCTAAGTAGCAGCTTGACCTATGGTATCATAAATGCAACCCCAAGACTCAACTTTTGAATTTCATTTTTCCATGAACTTTTTGAAGTCTCTCCATATAGGCAACCATTTTTTCTCTGAAGGCTCTGGGGCCAGATGAATTCCAGAAGTTAAATTTCCTAGATTTTATTTTAGGAAGCTAATGTATGAACATTCCCAGCACAGTCTCAGGAAACATTCCTGAGACTAAGTGATCACTTTTGTACCAAAAATATAAATATGCATATGAATCTGCTTTCAGGTTAAATAAATTACTATGAAATGAAATCCAGTGGTCTCACAATGGGAGATGTGGCATCATGTGGCATTCACTTTTCTCCAAGACAGTAGTCATTCGGGGACAAAGATCCACAGCAGAGGACAAGTGACACAGTGGTCCAAAAACCTCAGAAGAAGGCCCACACCCACCTCAGGAGTTCCTGAGCACAGACTGCTGGGATCTACCCAGTTACCTTCATCTGAAACACTGCTTCCTTCCACATGCAAAAGAGAATGAATTCTGAGACGGAGAGATTTCTACGGCAAAAACTCACTGAAGCTTTAGAGTTTCTAACTAAGCAACCACTATTCATTCCCGCAGTGCACCTGCCTTCTGTACACCTGATGAATTCCTCATGATGACTCCAATCCACCTTGCAGCCCACTCCTACAGAAAGGCAGCCACCACTCCATCTCGTGAGCTCTGTAAGTCTCTTATACACATGTCATGCTAAGTCTGCTATCACATTTTTATTTCTACATTTGGCTCCCACATTTCCATATGCTTTTCTTTTTTACACTCCTCTTTTCTCGGGGCCTTACAAGCAGCAGACATTAAATGTTTGGATAACTGAAGCAAGAATTGGAGCCTTGTCATTGCAGAAACAAGCTACCTTTGAGCCAGCATCACCCCGACTCACAATGTTTTCAACACTGTACTAAGTTCTTTGGTGGGAGGTGAGATGAGTGGGAGATATTGTCACCCATCTTTAGATTTTCTGAGCACCAACCTCCACACATATTGAAGTTCACCCTCCACTTGAAATGCACATGGTCTTTTCAGGAATAACCAGTGAAAAAATCTCTTTTAGAAAATAAAATCAAAAGGGCGATTTTAGTGATGAGACTGAAGTGGAGCAGGGATCTCTGTCTCCTGGAAGCCTGGCTCGCTCAAGCTTGCATGGTTGAGACCCATGACCTGCCTGTGAAATCCTGCAGTTGTGTTGGGGCCTTTTCTGGTGTGAAAAGAGCTTCAGGGAACATGTTCTTGGCTCCTTGGAGACACAGATGTGGAGACAACAGCCCACAATGCCTAGCAAAATCTCTCAAAACTGAAGGACAAGATCATGTTGCTAATCAGAAAAACAGGAATTTTTCTTTTAAAACATAATTTTAAAAAGTGAGGTGGCTACAGCCATGCACACTGCAGTTAACTCCAAATCTTCCATTTCTCTTAAGAACATGATACAACACTCACTTTATCCAAGAATAAAAAGGCCGATGTTCACCAACAAATGATGATCAATTATTCATGCAATAATGTTTTCAGTGTTCCCACATACTAGCATTGTGTCTGCTGCAGGTGTAGCTCTCCTGTGGACTTTGAGATGACCCACATAATATACATAACGTAGTGTTTAGACAAAAATATACAAAACCAAAAGCTATGGCAGGTGTTTCAGTACAAAAGATTAAACTGTTACTTGGGATGCCTACATCACCTTAAAAAAGTGCTGGTTCAAGTCTAAGCTATCCTGATTCTGACTCAGCCACTGCTAACACGTCTAGGAAGCAACAGATTATGATTCAGGTACTTCAGTCCCTATCACCTAAGTGGGAGACCTAAGTGGGGAGCTTCTGGCTCCTGGCTTCAGCCTTGCCCAGCCCAGCCAAGCCCAGCTATTATGGCTTAATGCTGGTGAGTGAACCATCAGAAGGAAGAGTTCTCCCTCTTTCTGGTTCTTCTTCTGTCATTATGACTTTCAAATAAACAAATATTTAAAAAGTAAAATCAAGAGCTATAACAAACACACACACCATGCCCACAGCTAGGTATAAGGAATGCAGAATTTGGAAAAGCTGGGATAAGGTGCTGTGATGTTAAATAAGTATCGCACATGGCAGGTATGTGGTACCTCAAACATAGGGAACACTCAAAGTCATAGCTAACCTTGGCAGTCTATTGCTGGTTGGTACTCTTGTAGGTCATTTATCAGGTATCCAGCAACAAATGACTCGCACAAATCCCATCTCCATTATCAACACCACACATGAAAAATAAGACATCAACTTAAAACAGTACTATCAGGCCACGTACCTTGTATGAAGATCCTATTCCAGTAGGTTTTCCCAACTTGATTACCCCCAAGAAATACCAGGTTGAACAGGATGAGCATGGAAGTGGAGCAAGAGGCCAGGGCAGCATGGACTCGGCGGCGAGCTTGAGGGGAGAGGTGTCGGGCCTGTGGGGAACAGGGTAAAAGTGTTGTCTGAGATTAGGTAGAAGAAACAGGGTTCAGAGGTGACCTTGTCACCAACTAAACCAGCTCATTATTTAAGCAGCTCTCCAAAGGCCTAGCCCTGCAGCATTGCCCACTCTAGTCTGAGCAAATAAGTACAGACCTCAGAGCTGCCACTTCCTCCCGCCACAATAGGCTCCCCCTTGACAGTGAACACAAGCAAGCAAGCTGGCTTAATGAATGAGGAGCCCTCCTTGATCCACAGGGGCGAGGCCTCCATGGGATCTCTGCATTGAACTCTAAAGGGGCAAGAACTTGCAACTGCTCTCTATGAAAACAAAATAGACAGCTCCACTTGTCCAGGTCCAGATCAGAATGATCTTTGAGCCAGTTGGCTTGACCCTGGGAAGCCACCCAGGAAGAGGCCCACAATAAGCAAACAGCAAAGCTGGAACAGCCCACTGCTGAACACACAATGTGGACAGCACACAGCAACACTAGAGCACAGTGGTGTGTCATAAGGCCCGAGTCTCCAGAGCCAGGAGGACACTCTTCAGCATGGTCCAAAATGCTGCTCCTCCATTCCCGCTCATCAATGCACCATGTTTTCCACTTTTAATATATTTGGCGATTTCATAAAGCCAACAAAGCCCTTAGTCCTGATAGCTGAGGGCTCTAGGGACCCTCAGAGTGAAAGGTGCATGGCCTTGGGGACTCTCCTCTGTGACTGCAGATTTGGAATGACAGCCAGGTAGAGCACCATAGCCAGGCATGCAATACCATGGGGTTCTTGACAAATACTTTGGCCCAATCTGAAGACAGGGAGAAAAGAGGGCAGGGGTTGAAGATCCTTCTAGAACATCCAGAAGTGGACATACCTCTAGGGTTGCAGGTGTCCTTATTTCCATCAGGTTCCCATTACACAGAGAATTCTGAAGGACCCAATGGCAGCAGCCTGTGCCACTCATGTCAAGTTGGAAGGATTGAATGACACAGACTCCACTCAGCCTGCTGTGGGTCACTGGTGGCCACACTGTAAACCCTGGCCAGTGTCCTAAATGCAGGAAAACAAATTCCAGACTCCTCCCCTTCTTCACATGTACACAGCACAGTAGACACTGAGCAGACTTCAAGGACAAGATTATTCTGGAAAGCTCTCCAGCAATGCTGTTATGTCCCTACTCAGAGGGTTGTAGACAAGATGGCCTCTGTTCTCCCCTCGACCCTGCCCCTGCTCTAAGAGGCCACCAGCATGCACAGGGAGGAACACAAGAGAGGAACAGATATGTGATAACGACCTGGTGTGCAAACGGCTAATGAGAGTGAATTGGGGCCAAAGCAGGCTTGTTATTCAGCATTCTTTCCCTTTGAGACCAGGAGACATTCATCCCTGTATCTGCATTTTAAAGCAGGGGAAGATATTCTCTGGGTATAATTGACTCAATTAGCAATGACTCTGGAGGCAGTTAGGAGAAGGGAAAGAAAGAATCCAGAATAATAAATCAAATAAATATGAATCATCATAATTGGCATAACTGTGTCTCAATACTTTTCTCCCGGTACAGGAGTCACAAATAACATATTGGACTTCTTTTTTTTCTTTCAATACTTATTTTCCATCTATTTGAAAGGCTGATAGATAGAGAGAAACAGAGAGAGACAGAGAGAGAGAGAGAGCAAGATCTTCAATCCTCTAGTTCACTTCCCAGATGCTCACAATAGCCAGAGGCTGAAGCCAGGAGCTCAGGACTCCACCCTGGTCTCTCACACGGGTGACAGATGCCCAAGGACCTGAGCCATCATCTACTGCCTCCCAGGATGCATTATTAGGAGGTGGAGAAGCTGGGACTTGAATCAGCACTCTGATATTGGGGATGGACCTTGCAAATGGTAGTTTAGACTGCTAAGCCACAATGACTTGTTTTCTAAGAGATTCCGTGAATCACTTTGTCACTTCTATTCCAAGCCCAATCAATCAGGCTGTCCTACCATCACGCACAGCTGAGGTAGCCTTCTAATCCCTCTGAGACCTTGGTCTCTGACAGAGGATCAGACAGGACAGGGAACATATACAGCAGTCTAGCAATGGCTTTAAAGTTCCCCCAAGACCCTGTCTCCTACACAGAGAGGGACTAAATCTTATAGCCAAACTACACTTCCATCAGATGAGTCTGTATCTCCTGGGAGGTATCCTCAGTTTCTGTTTATTCCTGCCGTCTCCATCTTTTCCAGTTATTATATGTCCTTGAAAGTCATGAGATTGGTTGGAGCACACCAGCCAGGGCATGGAGGTGAGGGTGGGCAGATCTGGGTCTGAAGTGAGGTGGGAGGGCCCAAACTTTGTGGGCCCCTCACTCATCCACAGAGGAGCTGCAGGGGGAGAATTGTACAACAGGGAGGAGAGGGACAAGCTGGATATCTTTTGGGGGTAAATGGCTGTGGGGAAATGGTTGCTGGCAACTGTGACAAAGACTTGGCAAGGGAGGCCCGAGACTGTGTATTTTTAAGTGGAAGAGAAGCTAAAAATAGAAACTGGGTGGGTTTGAGCAGTTGGACACAGCTCTTCCCCATAATCACTGAAGTTTTTCATTTTCTAATAAAAATGCTAACAGGACAGTAAGAGGAGATGAACATGAGAAGAGAGGAGGGTGGCAAAGAGCGGGGATGGCAAGCGAGGAGTGCACACCACGCTGGCAGCAGACAGGAGTCTAAAGAGGGCTGGCCAGAGGGGAGCAATCAAGGTCAGGAAGATTCAGATCTCAATGTCATTCCAAGGTCCCCCTGGCGCTCCTCTATATCAACCACTAGCACACTGTTCCCCTGGCTATTGCCCAAAACATGTGGACCATTTTCAGTTAGAAATCTGTGTTCTTGGGACCAGCATAATGGTTCAACAGGTTAATTCCCCAGCTGCAAATGCCGACATCCTATATGGATGTCAGGTAGAGTCCTGGATACTCCACTTCACATCCAGCTCCTTGCTTATGGCCTGGAAAGGTAGCAGAGGATGGCTCAAGTCCTCGGGATGCCGCAGCCCCAGAAGACACTCCTTGGCTTCAGATTGGTTCAGCTTTGGTTGTTGCAGTCACTGGGGAGTGAAACGGAAGATCTCTCTCCCTTTCTCTTCTCTCTGTAAATCTTCCTTTCCATAATAAAACAACAACAACAACAACAATAAATGTGTTCTACCAGCTTTCCTTCCTATAAAAACAATAAATTCCTTAAGTATGGAAGAGGGCCCACTAACCCATGCAAAAAACCTGTGTGTGTGTGTTCAGTAACTAACATCCATACCTATTTCACCACCCCCCCAATAAGTTACAGAATCTCCTGAGTTCCTTAAAGTTCCATTCATCTATAAACAGCCCAAATGAAAACATGAAAACATCAAGAAAATAACAGCTCCTTTGTTTTATCAAGTGTACAGTCCCTGATTTATTATGGTTTGATTTAGGATTTCTTGACTTGACTGTGGTGTAAAGCAACATGCATTTAAGAAGAAACAATAAGCTGGATTTTAAACTTTGATCTTTTCCCTGAACCTGCAGTATGTGGTACCATCCTCTCTCACCAAGCTGGACAGCAGCAGGGATGCAGCTCCCAAACAACCCAGGCCAGAGAACTTGGCCTTGTTTACTGGTGCCACAGCTCCACTAGCTCCCCATACACATGGCCTGCGCTTCATATCCCTGCACCTCTGCACAGAGATTCTCTCTACTCAGAATGCCCTCCTCCTCCTCTCTTCAAACCACAGCACAGCAGCTCAGGAAACAACTGCCTTTGGAGCAGCTCAACTTGGGTTCATACTCTGGATTTCTACCTTTACATTGTGTTGTCCAGGGCAAGTTAGGCTTTTCAGCTAGCCAGCTCATGGTTAGTATTTGATAAACAAGTCCTTGGCAGCAGCAACCACCTACGTTTTTTCAGTTTCTGGAACAGATAACATCAACCTACATTTTTGAGCTAACTACAATTTGTGATACAAAAAATTCACTATGTGGGAGTATTACCTATAAAGCATATATTTTTTAAAAAATCTGTATTTTAAAATAAGGAAAGTTGAAGAGCAGAGAGCTTAACTGATACCAGGTACTATAAACTAGTAAGTACAGAGAAGGGACTCACACATTTCACCAGTTCTACATCTTCATTCAAACTACATCTGTGACGCAAAGTATTCTCTCCCTCTGGACTGGAATTTTCATAATCTTTGCCTCTGTGGTGTCAGGTACAGAAATGTGTGCTCTTACATGTGTTCTAAGAATGGTTGCTAGATACTCAGCAGTGTCAGTTTCAGGAGCTTACTATTTCCAAGAACAACTAGCTTACAATGACATTGACATTTTGAAAAATACCAGTATTCATAGCTAAGTAAGATTCAGCCTATCTCCCAAAAGATATGACATCTAACAGAACAAAGAATATAAAGTATCATCGTAACATCTTCACAATAAATGAAGAGGAGATTTTAGAATATTCATGTACTTATACAGAGTAGTAAGGAAATGAATACTACACTACAAATGAATAACTTAGGTTTCCTTTTAGAAGGAAGGGAAAAGGTACATTTGCTGAAGAATGATTACCTACAAGACCTTGGGTCTTATCTACATATTTAAAAGATTATAAGTTTGGAGCTGGTGTGATAGCTCAACTGGTCAATTCTCTACCTATTAAGTGCAGGAGTCTTATATGGGTGCCAGTTCATGTCCTGACTGCTCCACTTCTGATCCAGCTCTCTGCCTAGGAGCTGAGAAAGCAGTGGAGGATGTTGCAAACTTTTGGGACCCTGTATCCAGGTAGGAGAGCTGGAATAATCTTATAGCTCCTAGCTTCAGATTAGCTCAGCTCCAGCCATTGTGGTCATTTGGGGAATGAAGCAGCAGACAGAAGATCTTTCTCACTGTGCCTCCTTTTCTCTGAAAATCTATCTTTCCAATTAAAAAAAAAACCACTTAGATTAAATGTCATAAATGCCTTTATAAGAAAAAAGGAAGTTTTTT